CGTCATCGATCGATTACACAAGGTGTGTATCGATCGATATGTGTCTCTCAATGTCGGATCTTCATAGTCAACTTGTAAAACTCTCCTTTAAGCTCCATAAGGCACCTAAATCATCACTTTACGACAAAATGCTCCTGAACCTGAAAACATACCTAATAGACTCCAAAACATAGATAATTATAATAAAAACATATAGAAATCATGACCAAAAACGGGTCAAAATCATGGTATATCAACTCCCGCAGACTTAACCGTTTGCTTGTCCTCAAGCAAACCTTAAGTTAGTCTTGGAAAGAAGTTTAAAAACAGTAGGGACTCAATCAAAATCTCAACTTAAAGATCATCACCTATTACTTTGTTGCAAACTACATCTCATTTCTATCAACTACAGAAGTACATTATACCATATCCTAGCTTAGCAACCAAATACATCTAGCCAATCAACTTAAACATTCCTTGTCTGTCTATCCCCTCTACTGATTTCATTTATGCATAAAAATAAAGGTGTAGGCTTTACCTTGGGAGTATCGATCAAGGAACACTTGGATTCAACTCAAACAAGTTTTAGGCATTCTCATCCTAGTTCCCTTTTTTTTCTTTATCCCCCTTCTCTGAATCCCAACTCTTTCTTTCTCTCTTTCTTTTTTTTATATATCAATCCCAATGAACAGTTAATGTTCATCTTATTGATCTTTCTTGACAAAGTGTAAGCGAATTCTCTGGGGATGCCGAAGGAAGGAAAGAAGGAAACCAAAATTTTTGAGACTTTTACCTTCCAGATTTGCAAGAGGATTCCGATCCCTTATATACCAAGCCCCAAGACAAGCAATAGATGTCAGGTTAGGTTGGAAATCAGCTTTGGTTCTTCCAGACAATCATGAAAGTGTTGACATAGGTGATCGGTGATCAACTTTAGCATATATAGTACTTTCTGCAATCAACAAATCTAAGAATGGTGCTAAAGAGTGGTAAGATAAAAAGTAAGACTTCGCAAATTTTTCCCTTTCTTGACTCAATAAAACCAATTTTTGAAAACTTTATAAATAAGATCAAAAAGAGGTAAAGTAGCATCAGTAATCAACTCCCCCCAGACTTAAATCATACACTGTCCTCAGTGTATAATCAGTCAGAGTAAGAGCATTGGAAAAATCAAATGTGTAAACTGATATCGAAATGGTGAACGATATACCTGACCGATATGGGTATCGATCGATGGTGAGTCGCCATCGTCTTCGATGCGTATTGGTCTGTGTCGAGCGATATCGACTGGTCGTATCGGTCGATAGGTATGGATCGTGTGTCTATCTTCCTAAAAATAAAAACAAAACTAATCAGTAAAAAGAAAATAAAATAAAGAAATAAAATACCTAACAGCGGGTTGCCTCCTACTCAGCGCTTGGTTAAAGTCAGTTAGCTTGACTATGGAATTATGGTGGCTAGTGAGGTGGGTTGCAGGTACTTGTTGTGAAACAAGTGTCCTCCTTTTCTTGTGTTTCTTCAAACCAAGAGATTAGAAAGCTTCTTATGGCCTTCTCACTTCTGGTCATACTAGTCTTCAAACCATAAATATCACATTGGATCCTTCCCAACAATTATTCTAATCTGGCAAGGTTGTACTGATGGTTTCCAAGCATGCTGTAGATGTGTTATGTAGTGCGCTGCATGGTGTCGTGGGGTGTTGGATCGTCGGTCGATTCTGGAGGTTGCATATCGGTCGATGCATTGTTTGCTTCATCGATCGATGGTGATGGGTCAGGTCGGCTGGCGAGTTGTCTTTGAATATCTGCTACCTCCTTCTGAATATCTTCAATTGTGCACTGCAATCCTTTGACGTCACTGTGGAGTGGAAACCAATATCGGTCCAGTAATCTGTAATCTTCATCTCCACAAAACTCAATAGATTTGTAGATTTGGGCTGTGGTTTCTTCAAGTTCTTCCCTGGTACAGAATTCTGGAGCACGGGTATCGATCGATGGACTGGGTTTGTCATCGATCGATAGCTTCTGGAAGTGGTGCTCGATCGGGTTTTGGACGGGTGTATCGATCGACACAGGGGTAGCTGTATCGGTCGATGCCGGTGTCTGAGATTTTAGTTGTGCGCGCAAGGTATTGACTTCTTCTTCTAGGGATTCGCTTTCATATCGTACTAGGCCAGGGATGGTGGTATTCCAGAGTAGTTCACCTAGGAGTCTTGATAGTTCTTTCTCATGTTCATATTGCGTGGCTGCTTTCTCCCAGTTGTGATCTCCGGTTCTTGCATCAAGCATGTGCGTGACTTCTGCTTGTGTGAAGAGCTTGCAATCAGGAACTCCTTTAGCATAGGCTTCAGTAAATTCTGGTAGACAGAAACAAGAGCGTCCAAATAATGAGGCTCTCTTCAGCAGGTTTCTCATGTCGTCTTTGGTAACATGTATGATGTCTCCGTTTACTGCTCTTGCATGGCCAGATTCATCTCTGTAGACTCCATATTCGTCTTTCTTTTCCCAAAAGAAACGACGAAAGCCGGTGTTGAAAGCTCTCTTCCCAAATTCGCGTTGTATATCGGTCGATGCACGTCTCCATGTATCGCTCGATGGCCGTTTTCTGTGGTGCGGATCGTTTTCGATGATAGGTCCATTGGCCATCTGGAGTATGTCTGCAACATCTTCTGTGGAGATAGGAATGATTCTCCCATCTATAGCTCGTGCATGACCATCTGAATCCCTGAAAATACCAAACTCATCCGGTATTAGTGAATTTAAATCAAATTTAAGTGTTTGTACCTCGGATGGCATTGTGGCAGGACCGGTTGGTGGTTTAAGATTGATATCGAGCGATGGGGAGTGCTCCGTATCGGTCGATGGTTTGTGGATCATGTCGGTCGACGGCTTGAACTATATGTCGAGCAATACGGGTTCTGCAGGTTG